TAAAGAATTTAGCAGTAAAATCCCAGAACGGTTGTAACCTTCCTAAATTATTAGAAAGACTCATATCAGGAGCACACAGACTAAGGAGGAAATTGGTGACATACTTGTTTTTTCCTTGGGGCTAAATTTTGTATATTAAAAAAAATGGTGCCACTAAACCTTGGTTCTTAACTGGAAGTGATTCCTCTCCTGAAGGGACATTTGATAATATGTGGAATGAACTGGAGGGAGAATGCTACTGGCATTTGGTGGGTGGAGGCCAGGATGCTGATTAACACTCTACAGTGCACCATCTAGCATCTCAAAATCAAGTATCAATACTGTCAAATACCAATCAAAATATCAATACTGTCACTGTGGAGAAACTCCAAAATAAACCAATTTGACCGTCAAAGCTGTTGTTAAAATAAAAACTTCAGACAAAATTAAATTGGAGAGTTTGATTGATCAAAGAATGATGGGTGAGTTGGGCAGCCCTGGAGCAAAAAGAGGTCTAGAGAGAGATCTACTCAGCAATGTGGGCAAGCAGCACATATGGACAGAAAACAGAAATGACGTACAGAAACAGCATGACAGATTAGGTCAGTGCTTTTGAATGTGGTTTAGTAAATTGGCATCCTGTGATTGACTCAAGTTGGGCTTGCTGTGACTGGCAGAGACTCACTTGTTACAAAGTATACTGTCAGGTGTTCACTGGCAGTACAGAGGTATCCTCAGGCCAAATTTACTTCAATTCAACACTGCAAATCAATGCATTGTGAGTATATTTCATAGAGTTGAGTGTTTTAAAAGTATGTATGGCCCTTAACAGATCCATATTCTCCAATCTGGAAGGAATTAAAAGTACTAAAAACATATTTTAGAAGGCTACCACAGGAGTGCCTGAAATACACAATTGTGAGCATTTTGAGATTGGTGAAGATATTGAGCTATCGGTGGAGAACATCCAAAAATATTTCTCATGGGTTAGCTCATGTCAAAAATTTTGAAGAACTAATAGAAATTATCAATACAAAGTAAAACTGACAAAGCTATCTAGTGCAAAATTTATTATTGATTGAACACTGAGGAAAGAATAAAACACATTTCTGGTATTTGCCCATGCTAAGTAGGCCAGGAAGGAAAATGTAGAGTTGTAGAAGATATAATTGGTGAAATTTTATAGGGACAGAAAAGGTGATTTTCATTCTAAAATAATACCTTATATAGAATAAAAAGAAAAATGTGCTGTGTTATATAAAGATTGATCAAGGAATTCTTTTGACTTAATGAGTTTTGCCCTGAAAACTTGATGAGAATTTATGATGGTATTATTCTGATTAGAATGCTTGTTTGCAGAATGTCCTCAGGGTTAAAGTGTCCTACAATCCTCTCAGAGTATTGTTAGACTTGCTGTGCCTACCTTCACCTTAGGAGATTGCTATATTAATTAAACAGTCATTGGTTTTAAGTGACAGAAGTGTGCAGAGAAAAACATACTGATTGGATCACATGTCAGTGGGATGCCCTATTTCCTCAGGCCAGGCTGGATACAGGGTGTTCAAATGACGCTTTAGGACTTGAACTCTCCCTGCCTTTCCCTTGGCGCCGCCTGTATTTTACATCCCCCATTTATTGAACTTTTGGCTGTCCTGGTTTCATTGCCTGGTAGATTTTTTTTTTTTTTTTGGTGGCACTGAGGTTTGAACTCAGGGGTTCACACTTGCAAGACAGGCACTCTTACCGCTTGAGCCACTCTGCCAGCCCCCAGAATTTTTTTTTTTTAAAGTGGTAACAATGACAGCCTTACTGACAACCCTAGATTTCTCTGTCCTTAATTTCGCAGTGTAAAAAGAAGAGAGAGCATCTTACTCTGACAGCATTGGCAAAAATCTTGGAGGGAACTCTTGTTGGCAAAGCTTCTGTCATGTGCCCATCTCTGAAACGGTCTTTGTGGACTGAGGGTGGGGTGTGCTAGGTAGGCTTTGGGGGAAGAGGCTCACTTCTGGGGGTTTTGGTGCAGGGATAAAGGTTTGGTTATGTTGTCCATTGGGGAGAGGGATTCTAATGTGAAAAAGAAGAAAAAGTATATTGGACATTTAAACACAGCAGCTGAGAAGACTAATCTCTAAAGGGGTTTGTATAAGATTGTTATATAAAGAGTCTCTTAGTTTTTAACTTGAATATAAAAGCTATTTTCCTGTAAACCTTTAAATAAATTTGTTTGCTGCTATCTCTATTTTAAAAGTGGATTAAAAGCTCTTAACTGTCAGAATATATTATTCTTTTATCCCATTGATTTTGTATTGCAATTATGCTTGCTGTTTACAGTTTTGTCTTAATATACTTTCATTCTTGGAAGTTTTATTTTCATAATACTTTTCGGCAACAAAAGTATATAAATGTTAAAACATTTCTGTCATTACAACTTATTCAAAAGATATCAATATGTTACAAATTTTGATAGTTACATTTTCTGAAAACATATCTTTTAATGATAAGAATGGCACTTTTTTCCACTTGAATATTAAGTAGAATTAATTTACATTTTACTATCATTAATATTTCCCAGTTGAATGTTAACTATTGCTAGAATGTAAGGAATTTTGATATATCAATGTCAATCAAATCTTTCCAGACTTTCTAAGTTATATGCCAAAAACAGTGTTTCTCAGTTAGCAAAAACGTTATTCTTAGTGATCTGTTACCTGACAACTTGATTAGTGTCTTATTCAATTTTGTTGGTAACAAAGAATCAGATACCACCTGACTTACAGGTGAATGGTGTACCCAGTAGAGTTATTTGTGCCTCAGTTTCTTGGAGTGTCATTAAAGAGACCTACCAAAACTTAGAAAGTAGCTCCTTGTTTAATCTTACACTCAGAATGAGTTGGCAAAATAAAGCTATTAATTTTAGTCTACTTTTGCTGATAATTTTTTTTAAGAAAATACTTCTGTCCTATGACATGTTTAAATAAATACATTTTGTCAAATTCTTAAAAGTTTTCACAGTTAAAAATAATAGTCTTACTGTCAAACCAGTCACTCAAATTAGACTTTCTGGCAGAAAAAGCATTTTCACCTTTCAGGTTAATGAGTGCATTAATTTATAATTTAAATAATGTTAAAAACCACTGAAAAATAACTTATGAGATACATTTGATAAACTAGATTACTAAAAACCAGTAAAGCCAAGCATTAGGGAATCTCATGGTTGTGTTTATATATATTTTTTTCTTTGTATATATCATTGTCATTCATTATATTTACATATTTAAATTATGTATTTTTTTAATCTATGGTTTTTTAGTTCTGTTTTATATAATTCATAAAAACGATACTAAATTAATTAAAATTAATTTGTAATGAAGACTATGGTAGGAGCTATTTTATGAGATGTATAATAAACTTTGTTGATGGTGTTAGGGAATATTAAATAATAATCATTTGTAAGAATCAGCAATTTATTAATTTCTTTAGATCTCTTGATCAAACCTTTAACATTGTATTTAGTGAAATAGGAAACTAATTGTTTCAGACACTAATAATTTAACCTTTTCATAATAAAAGTTTGAAAACAGCACTTTGTAAGATGAGGAATGATTGTAATTGTATTAAATATTTCATGATAATATTTGAAAATATGTTTTCAACAACCTTATTGAAAGATACACATTGATCTGAAAGAAACATTTAAAAGTTATCTTTGATAGTTAGTCAATGAATTGTGAAAAATTTGATAGTGCTGAACTGAAAGCGGTTTCATTTACATTAAAATGGATCAGCATCAATTATATTAATTGTCTCAAATGTTTGGAGATGCCTTTTCCTTTAAAGCAATAGCGTGTTCTCAAGCTAAGAATTGGCACAGCTGAAAGGTTAGTGAAAAGCTGCTTTCTGAAGCTCCCAGTTCTTTGCTGTCAGACCTTTCCCATCTTGGCTTGGCAATACTCACTCTTACTTCCCTAGTCTGCAACATACTTTATCTGACACAGCCAGCAGAAGCCAAAGTAGTAATTTCTAAAGCAAGTCTTTACTTTTAATTGAAATGTTAAAAGCCCTACACAGATTTATTACATTGATTTGAATAAGTTTTAAAGGAGGCTTGCCTCTAACCATTAGCACCTATGACCCTCTATTTAGTGCCCTGGAGGAAGGCACTCCAGTAAAACAAGTGGGAAAAAGGCTGTTCTGAAAGGGCTTGTGGGAATAGGGCCTGCAGATCCACATTAGGGACAGGTGAAACTAGAGATCTGGAAACTGATTGTGGAAGCCTGCTCTGTGCTGTAGCCTTGGAGAGTGATCATCTAGCTTCACTCACAGACCAAACACAACCAACAGCTGTGATACAGCGAGAGAAACACGCTATAAAATATGAATTAGATTCTATGCTAGCGAAAAGAAAGGAATGGGGTGACCAGTTCTGGAGGGAGGGGAAGATAGTGCAAGAGGAGAAGTTGGGGGGAATGGTTCAACTGTGGGGTGCTGGATGAAGATATTTGAGGAGTAGTTGTGTGAGGGACAATGGTATGAGAGATGTGGAAGGCCATTTGGGCTGAAGAAGTAAAGTTTCCATAACTGAAGCAGGAATACGAGAGCTGGAAGTGGTTGGGTACTCGGACAACCCAGAGTTCCATTTTTCTCATGTTGAAGTTGAGGTGTCCCTAGAATATCTTTGGTAAAGTTCAGTAGGCGTCTGGCAGGTATGCAACTCAGGAGAACGATGCAAGCCAAAATGGTCATTTATGAGTTGTCTACAGGTCAGAGTTGGGCCACCGGTATGATCGAATGACTTAGGATACTTAGCATGGTAGCAGAAGGTGACCAAGAACAGAAAATTTTAAGGCAGGAATGGTAAATGCCTTGTCTTCTCCTCTGTCTAATTGATACCGCCAAGTTTCTCAATGAGGCCATTTTCCATTGTGGGTTTTTTTTGGTGGTTCTGGGGTTTGTCTGGGCTTTGTGCTTGGTGGGCAGTTGTTCTACCACTTGAGCCATGTCCCACAACCCTTTTTTTGGCTTACTTATTTTTCTGGTAGGGTCTCACATTTTTGCCTGGACTAACCTCAGACCATGATCCTCCTATCCATAGCCTCCCACATATCTTGGATGCTACTACACCCAGTTTATTGATTGGGATGGTGTCTCCTTGACGTTTTGCCCATGCTGGCCTCTAATTGATACTCTCTCAATCTCTACCTCCTGAGTAGATGGGATTATAGCCATGAGCCATTTTTAAGAAGCCTCTTGCTTGATGTTCAAATGTTTGAGGACCAAGTTGTTAATTGATTTCTGATTTAATTTAGTTGTGGTCAGAGAGCATACTCTGATTTTAGGTCTTTGAAATTTATCATGACTTGCTTTCTTGTCCAGCCCATGCAATATTTTGGTGAATGTCCCATGTATCTAATAATAATAATAATAATAATAATAATAAAAACCCTATTATGGTGATCTTGGGTTATATTTTTCCTAAATGTCCTTTAGGTCAAATGGGTATGCATGATTTTAGATTTGCTCTGTCCTTACTTCTACTCTTGATTTTAGCCAAAGACCAAGAAGCAATTTCCCTAACTTCTGCATCCATTCCCCCCTCTGCCTCTTCCATCAATTACTGAAAGAAGTATATTAAGTTATCCAGGTATGATTGTAGGTTTGTTCTGCTGAGTTTGGTTTTTTCTTCATTTTATTCTCTAGCTCCCTGCCTGCCAGGTCACCACCATAAATTTTCTGTGTTCTTCCACAAAGGGTCACAGCTCCTGTTAGGAGGTTGCTTAGTCTACTTACCCTGTCTGTTTGCTCTTTACCCTGGCCCCTCAGGTCTAGGGATGGTAGTGCCAGGCAGTGGTAGTCCCAGGGCAGTGTCCTTGTCTTTGTTGTTTTTCCTAAACTCTGCTCTCACTTTCATAAATTGTTCCTTGATCATATACCCAAATGTAATGGGTTTGTACCTTGTTGAGTGCAAAGCCCAAAACAAGCACAGCCAAAAACACAAGCGTGGAAAAAGATTACCTGCAGCAAGTAAGGAGAGCATGGGAGTTATTTCTGAAGCAGAACACTCCCTGAACATGGGAAGCATGGGTAGGAAAGCACATTAGGGTTGGGCAAAATACCTGAGCATGCTCAGTTTAAGGTCATAGTTCAAGAAGGAAGATGGCAGATACATTCTTGGGCATGCTTAGCTCAAAGTCATAGATTACTTGTTCGAATGGTTAAAATGGCAGGCAGAAATGCTCCTGGACATGCTCAGTTTTCTCCAAAAAGGTTTAGCTTTAAAAGAGGAAAGGATACTGATGGTATGTTAGTATAAGAGTTTGCCCCTAGAGGTCCTGGCCCACTTAGCGGCTGACAATTAAACTCTTTGCAGTTTGTCAACTTGAGTGTATCAATGCCCATCTTTTTCTTGCTAGTGCTCTGAATGGTGACAGATGGATGTGCTTGGGGGAAGTGTTTTATGAGTAGGAAATTCTGTGCAAAAGTCTAAATCAGGCCTGGTGTGTTCAAGGAATAGGAAGAGCCTGGTGAGGCTGGAGTAGAATGAGTGAGGAGAATAGTAGGAGAGAAGATCAGAGAGGAATTTGGGGAGCCAGATTAGAGTTTTCTTTTAGGTCATTGCAGAGCCTGGAGGATGACCAGAGGATTGTCTCTGGGACAAGCACCACTCGATTCTGGTTAGGATAACTGTAGCTGCTCTGTCGAGGCTACACTATAGAAAAGTAAGAGGATGTGTTAGAGAAGGCTTGAACTAGCTTGCGTTGGGATAGAAGAGGAAAGATAAGGATGACTCCATGCTTTTTGGGTTGAGCATCTGCAAGGACTGAGTTCCCATTAGTGGAAGTGAGGAATACTGTGAGAGTAGTACAGTCTTGGTGGAAAGACTAGAGTTCTAAATACTGAGGGAAAAAAAATCCCTCCCTTTTGCTTTTTTAAAATGCCAGCAAGGAGTTTATGTTACAGATATACCTTGGTTAACTTTGTTAATACTCATTTGTTAATGAGTATTGTTATTTTTTGCTGGGGTGGGTAAGGACTGGGGTTTGAACTCAGGGCTCACTGTTTGCAAAGCAGGTGCTCCACTGCTTGAGCTACACCTCCAGTCCATTTTGCTTGGCTTTTTTTGGAGATGGAATCTCATGAGCTATTTACTCGGGCTGGCCTCAAACCACGATCCTTCTGCTCTCAGCCTCCCAAGTAGCTAAATTACAGGTGTGAGCCACTGGTACCCAGCTTGGTCTTTAACTTTTTTAACATCCTCAAAAACTTGAGGTTAGCAAGGTCTCATAGTATAAACTTAGTTATTTCCAGGCATTGGCTGACAGATATGCAACCCTTTTTTTTTTTTTTTGGTACTGGAGTTTGAACTCAGGCCCTCATCCTTGCTAAACAGGCATTCTACCACTTGAGCCACTCCACCAGCCTTTGTGTGCGTGTGTGTGTGTGTGTGTGTGTGTGTGTATGTGTGTATGTGTTGGATATTTTTGATATAAGGTCTCAACCTTTGTTACCTGGACTGGCCTCGAACCATGATCCTCCTGATCTCTGATCCTCCTGATCTTCCAGGTAGTTGGGATTGCAGATTGAGCCACTGGTACCCGGTTTACTCTGTTTTTTGTCACCTGGCTTACTCTGTTTTTCTTAAAGTAGGAAAGAAAAGATAGTTACTTTTTAAAGTACATTATAAAAAGATAAGCTTGATTACAAATATAAAAGTGATGTCTGTTGGCTTTTATTATAGAATAGTTATAAAGAACTACAGGCATGGCATTTTAAAATGAGATGCTTTTATAAATGTTATTTCATTTCTTGAAAAGAGTATAATTATTTGGCCTCCTGATAAAACAGAGAGTAATTAATCTAAATGCAAGAGCACTTTTAGATACCAGTTCTCATTACAAACCTTGCCCTTGGTGTCAGGTCTGACCAACATCTTTTTAATAAACAACCCAAGAAAAGAACAAATTATACAAATTCATGGGAACATGAAAATTGGTTGTTCATTTGTTTAAAAAAAAATCAAGGTAAGATTCCCATCTCACATTTCTCTCAAAAATAAACTCAGAATAGATTAAAAAAATCTAAACATTGAAAAAATATAAAAGAATTAGAAAATTATAGAGGCATGCTCATGAACTTGAAAAGGACTTTTTAAATAAAAAAGCAAAGGAAAAGATAAAATGTCTTACATTAAAATTTTACTATATAATAAAGTCACCATAAACTGAGTTAAAATATAACAGGCAGGATGTTATGATTCAGATTATGTAACAAAACTAGTGTAGAATACAACCAATGGAAAAGTGGACTGAATATATAAACAGGCAATTCACATAAAACCCAAATACTAAGTAAACAGAGATTTATCTGAGATGCTCAGCCTCACCAATAACCTGGATGATGAAAACTGAAGTGATAAGACATTTCTTAGATGTCAAATCTGCAAATGTTTCCTGTTTGATAGCACTACATGAAAGAAGGAAATAGTACTCCTTATACAGTGGATGGAGGTTTGAATTAGAACAATTTAGAGGAATTCCTAAACCTATTATTTACCCTATCTGCTGGGTACCCTTAGAGGCACATACCAGGGTGTGCTTGCTGTAGCATTCCTGGGGCTACAGCCTGAATGTTGAGTCCCAACCAACTTCATATATTGAAATCCTATTCCTAAGGTAATGTTAATTAGGAGGTGGGGCCTTTGGAAAGTAGTTAGGTCATAAGGGTGGAGCCTTCATGAATGAAATTAGTGTCTTTATTAAAGAGGCCAGAGGCAGCCTATTTGCCCCCTTTACACGTGAAGATGGAGGTAGAAGGTGTCATCTATGACTCAAGTATAAAACCTTTTTCACAGATTTACAAATTTTCTCATTTGTAAGTCTCAGGGAGTTATTTTGTACAAAGTACTTAAAAGACAGTAAGCATTCAATGAATGTTGACTGTTGGTATCATCATTCAGTATACCTCACCACCTCTTTATTGGCCATGTTGAAAGATATGTTTTGCGTAGCTACTTTTTCTGAGTGTCTTTGATCCCTTCTAAACAAAGTTCTAAGTGTAGAAATGGTAGTATGCCTATGTTACTGTTGGTGAGAGCAAAGCAGAGAGATGGTGTGGTTTACACCTGTGCTTTGGAAGACCAGTCAGAAATTAATATAACTTTAAAAAAATAGCTCTGTGCAGAAATTAAGCAGAACCTTTGCCTTCTTTCACTTGTTTCATGTAGACATTCTTGACATTTATGTCACTTGGGCTTTGTTCTTTCTATGGACCTAGAAATACTAAATTTTGAGGGAAAGTGGCCAAAGAACTTAACAGTGTATGTAGTAAAAGTAAAGATGTATAAAGATGTAAAAAGGGTTGAGGATATGTGTTAAATATTCTCCCCTATTGATACTTTGGATGATCTTAAAATGCATTCTTCTTATTGTTGTTGCCCTATATTAGCATTGCTGTTAATGAAAAACAAAAGTTAGTTAATATATTTTATTGTACTTCATTTTTTTTTGCCAACCTAGCAATTGAAAAGTGAATTTTATCAATTCTTCACTCCTCTCTGATGTAGCTTTTCTATAGAGAGAAGTTTTAGGACACGGTACCTGTTCTAGCTGGTGTGAAACATGTCCATGGTGCTCCTTTCTGCAGGTCAGGAATCCTTATTGTTAGAGGCATAGTGGGTGTCACTTGCCTCTTGTAATGGTTGTGTTTCTTTATTCGTTTTAGGTGATATAGTTAATATTGGAGATGTGTCCTACAAGCTGAAAACTCCCAAGAATCCAGAACTTGTGCCACAGAACTACAGTAAGAAATACTTATTTATCAATGAATAAATGTTAACTTTTTATTATGGGACTCTTCAAACATACACGAAACTAGAGAGAATAGTATAAACCCGATGTGTTTATCACCCAGCTTCAACATTTTTCTACAGTATCCTAATCTTTTACTTGATTCTCAGTTTTTGTTCTACCATATTTAAAACCTATCTCAGATATCCTTTCATTTCACTTGTGTGTTTAGTAGAAGCATTAATTTTTATCACACACTACCCTTTCTTTTTACTTGAGATAAAATTTGGATATTATAAAATGCACAGATATTAAGTGTTTCTTTAGTTAGTTTTGACAGTTTTATAAATCTGTAGAACCACCAAGATTACTATCATCACCTCCAAATATTTTCTTGTGCCCCTCTCCCTGTCCTTGCCCTGGAAACCACAGTTATCTTTTCTGCCATAAAAGATGGTATGGCAGCCAGGTGCTGATGGCTGATGCCTGTAATCCTATCTGCTGTCCAGGCTGAGATCCAGAGTATTGGGCAAATAGTTTGAGCGATCCCACTTCCAAAATAACCAGAACAAAACAGACTGGAGGTGTGGCTCAGGCGGTAGAGTGCCTACTTTGCAAGTGCTAAGGTCTGAGTGTTCAAACCCCAGTCTCAGCAAAAAAAACCAAAAAAAAACCAAACAAGCTGTGTGTGTGTGTCTGGTTTCTTTCCATCAAGAGAATGAATCTGAGGTTCCTCCATGTTGTTGCACCTGTTCGTTGTTTGAATTGCTCAACAGTGTTCCATTGTAGAAATACACAGTTTACTCATTATCCTGTCAGTGGACGTTTGAATGCTTTATACTTTTGTGCTATTATAAACAAGGTGCTATGACCATTTCTGTACAAGTCTTGTGGTCATAGGCTTTCACGTCTTACTCATAACAAACTAGGAAATGAATTGATGTATCACAGGTCGATACCTGTTTAACTTTGTAATACACTGGCCAGCAGTTCTCCAAAGCAGTTGTACCATTTAACTTTTACCCAGCAGTGATGGTCCACATCCTTGCCAATATTGGTATTTCTAGTCCATTTTATTTTACTCATTCCTCTGGGTATGAAATTACAACACATCATGGTTTTTGTTTTATTGAGCTATAATTCTTATACCATAAAACTTACCTTTTAAAAGCATGCAACTTAGTGGTTCTTAATATATTGACAGAGTTGTGTAATCACACCACTATGTAATTTTGGAACATTTCTTTTTTTTTTTGGTGGCACTGAGGTTTAAACTCAGGGCCTTACACTTGGTATATAGGTACTCTTACTACTTGAGCAACTCTGCGAGTCCTAATTTTAGAACATTTTCATCAACCCTGAAAGAACCTAGTGCCTATTAATAGTCATTTGCCATTTTCTCCTCTTTCTCACTTCTAGCCTTTGGTAACCACTACTATATTTTATATTTCTATAGACTTGCCTATTCTGTATATGTCATATAAATGGGGTCATACAATATTGAGACTCTGTGTCTAGCTTATTTCACTTAGCACAAGGTTTTCAAGGTTTATTATGTTGTAGCATCTGTTACTACTTCACTGCTTTTTATGGCTGAATCAATATTCCATTTTATTCTGTTGTATGGATATTTTACCCTTTGTTTACCCATTATTTCCACTTTTGATTTATTATGAGTAATGCTGCTGTAGAAAATTTTAAACAGCTGTATGTTTTCAATTTTCTTGCATACCTACCTAGGACAGGAATTGCTATGTCACATAGCAACCCTGTTTAATATTTTGAGGAATTACCAAAACAGTTTCCAAAGCAATTGTACCACTTTACATTCCCACAGTTTCTTCATATCCTCATTAACTCTTGTTAATTGTCTGACTTTTTGTTATAGCCATCCTTGTGCGCATGAAATGGTATTGCATTGTGTTTGATTTGCATTTCCCTTATGACTTGGTTTCATTCCTTTGCTTAAAATCATTTCACTTCTTTTCTCAAAAAATTTAAAATGACTTTTTGATACCTTGGGAACAAAGGTCAACCCTTAGCTATTTTAATCTAGTTCTAGCCTGATCTCATGCTGCTCTTCTATATTCTGTGTCCCAGTCATTGGGCACAATATAGAGTATGCTTTCATCACTCTTCAGATGCTTCCCCTAGATTGTGTGCTATTTGAGAAACATTACTTTCATCTAACACAAAGTTGTACCGCCTCTAGCACCTTTGCTTTACAATCTTTCTTTTCTACTTTATCTTTCTTTTTATTCTTTTCCCCACATCCCCTCAGCATTTTCTTTGTGGCCATCCTAAGTATTATAATTAACCCTTTAATTTAAGACAATCTTGTTCAAATTAATGTTATCTTAATTTTAATAGCATAAAAAGTCTTTGTGCCAATATCCAATGTACTGTAGGTCTATTCCCTCCTACCTCCTTTTTGTTATTATTGTCATACAAGTTATATCTATTTATTGAAAGTCCACTGAACTGGGCACAGGTGGCTCACACCTCTAATCCTTGCTACTTGAAAAGCTGAGAATAGGAGGTTCAAAGCCAAGCAGTAGAGCACTTGCTTTCCATGTGCAAAGCCCTGAGTTCAAGCTCTAGTCACACCAAACAAACAAAAAAGGCAACTGACATAGTTTTATATTGCTTAATGAGGTTGTCTTTTAAGTCAACTAGTAGAAGAAAAGGACAGGCAAAAATATGCTTATATTGTCTTCATTTTCTTTACCAATACTCTTTTTTCTTTGTGTGGACTTGAATTACTTTCTAGTGTGCTTTCATTTCACCCTGGAGGAAGGACTCACTTAGTATTTCTTATGGGACAGGTCTGCTAGTGATGAATTTTCAGTTTTTATTTATCTGGAAATGTCTATCTTCTTTGTATTTTGAAGGATGATTTTATTTGATACAAAATTCTTGATTGGCAATTTGTTTTAGCAGTTTGAATATGTCATCTTATTGCCTTTGACTTCCCTAGTTTCTGATGAGAAGTCAGTTATTAATCTTATCAAGGATCCTGTTGTTGTGATGAATCACAAAAAGATTCTTTTTGGCTTTTGATAGTTTAATTAGGATGTGTGGTATGGTTTGTCCTATAAAGGTTCATATCCTAGAAGCTTGGTCTCCCCTGTGGTAGTGCTGGGGGATGATGGAACCTTTAATGTGTTGATGGGGCCTTAGCTGGGAATGTGGCTTAGTAGTAGAGTGTTTACCTAGTATGCACAAAGCCCTGGGTTCGATCCTTAGTACTGGAGAAAGAAAACAGAGAGAGAGAGAGAGAGAGAGAGAGAGAAGAGAAAGAGAGAGAAAGAAAGAGAGAGTGCCTAGTGGGAGGTAATTAGGTCTTTGGGGGAACTGTCCCCAGAAGGGATTAATAATGGTCTGTGGGATGACTTAGTTCCCATGAAAGTAGTTGGTTTGTTCCTCCCCACTCTTTGATTTCTGGTCTCGCTCTCTGTCCTTCTCTCACATGCTCCCACCATGATGCCCTCTACCATGTTATGACATGGCCAGGGGTTCCTCAAGAGGCTGAAAAGATGGGGCCATCTGATGGATGAACTGTCATTTTCCCACACTGTGAATTAAATTTCCTTCTTCTCTCCTTTCCCCCCTCCCTTCCCCTCCCTCCTTCCCTAATCTTTCTTCCTTCCTCCTTTCCTTCCTTCCTCTTTTTCTCTCTCCCTCCTTTCCCTTTCCTTCTCCCTCTTCCGCCCTCCCTCCCTCCCTCCTCCCTTCCTGCCTTCCTGCCTTCCTTTTTTTTTGAGTTACCAGGGATTGTTTGCCTTGGGCTTGCTAGGCAAACACTACCACTTGAGCCACACCTCTAGTCAGATAAATCTCTTCTTTATACATACATTACCTAGCCTCAGATAGTTGACAACAGGCTTAATTCAGTGTGTGTAAGTACTCATCTCCGAGTTTATCCCAGCTGGAGTTTGTTGCACTTCTTGGATGTTTGGATTAATGTTTTTTATCAAATTTTTCTCAGTCTGTTTGCTTAGTCACTTTCTCATTGGTTGGCAGAAGTTGTTTTTTGTATTAGACTTACTGATTTTATTTGTTTATTCATAATCAGTGCTTACTGTGTTTTAAAAATCTTGGCCTACTCCAAGATTTCAAAGGTATTCTCTCATTTTCTAAGAAATTTACGATTCTGTTTTATTTTAAAAAGATAGGTCCATTTTTATCTATTTGTGTATTCATTGGCTTATATACATATTTTTTCTTTTTTTGGCAGTACTAGGGTTTGAACTCAGGGCCTCGTGCTTGCACTCTATCACTCGAGCCACTCCAGCAGCCCTTTTTGCATTGGGTATTTTTTGGGGGCAGTACTGGGGTTTGAACTCAAGGCCTCATGTTCTTACTACTTGAGCCACTCCACCAGCGATTTTTTTGTGATGGGTTTCTTCTAGATAGGGTCTCTGAACTATTTGCTTGGGTCTGGCTTCGAACCACAATCCTCCTGATTTCTGCCTCCTGAGTAGCTAGGATTATAGGTGTGAGCCATCAGTGCCCGGCTTGCATTGGGTATTTTGAGAGAGGGTCTCACTTTATGCCTGGACTGTGATGCTCCTATTTATGATCATCCTACTTGTGGTTCTCTATATAGCTGGAATGATAGGCATGTGGCAGTACCTCCAGCATTGGTTGAGATGGTCCTTGAGAAGTTTTGCCCAGGCTGGCCTCAAATCACTATCCTTCTAATTTCTGCCTCCCAACTAGCTAGGAACTACCACACCTGGCCTTGTTTTTGTTTTTTGTGATGTCTTTCTGTTTTACCAGTTTGATCTTGAGTTCTCAGGTTCAAGTGATCCTTCTATCTCATCTTCCCATCTCAGCCTACTGAGTAGCTAGGATTATAGAATGTACCACCATGCTCAGCTGGCATAAATTTTTTTCATAATATAGCCTTCATTATTTTTTAGGTATGTGTAGAACCTATAGTAGTATTCTCTCATTTATCCCCAATATTGGAAATTTGTACTTACACTTTTTCTTTTTTATCTTCAAAAA